GTTGCGGCTGCCATTTTGACTTCCAAAATGGCGGCTGCGACATGTGCGGCGGCAGCTGTGGCTGCGCGTGTTACGGCGGCAGCCGCAGTAGCGGCCGCGGCGGCAGAATATGCGGGGGGGTCTTGCGCGGCAGAGGAGGGTGCGTGCGCGCATGAGCGCGTGCGCCGCCATTCCCCCCCCCCCCGGCCCAGCCGAGAGGCAACCCTTTTGAGACCGGCCCAGGTCTCAAAAAGGTTGCCTGTCCCTGTACTGGAGAATAGCAGAGGACAACTATCAGTAGTGCTGTGGCTAATGATACAACTGGACTCAAGTCAAAGGTCATCCAGCTGTTGATATATTCAAAGGTGAAAGGAAAGTCTGAAGCTGCACAAAACATATTAAGGGACCATGCTGTGTGAGAAGCATGAATCAAGGGAAGCCAGACATTGTGAGAAAAAGAAGAAGAAAGAGAAAAAAAGATTGAATGGATAAACATTGCAATACTCAGGGCGAGTGAACTAAAATAGGTAAGGTGGAATTTTGAGTCAGATAATTACACATTTTTTTTACTTAGGAAATTAAAATCTAAGAAGAAATGGAGTGGCATTAATAGTGAGGAGAGATGTTGCAAAAATAGTCAGAAGATATAGTGCAAATCCTGACTGAATTATATCAATAAAGCTTGAGGAAAAACCCATCAATACTACCATAATCCAAGTTTATGCTCCAACTATGGAGGCAGAAGAGGAAGAAACTGGAAGATTCTATGCTGGATTCCAGGAGGAAATTGATCAGATACCAAAAAAAGATGGTATCTGAAGAAGTAGACCAAGTCCACACAAGCTTATGCTGTTACCTCTTAATCACCTGTAAACACAGGTGATAAAGACACAAAACTAGGAAACAGAACAGAACCAAATATTATTGGAGAATTTGGCCTAGAATCAAAAAATGAAGCAGGAGAGTGAATTGAATTTTGTAAACTTAACTGTTTGTTCATCTCAAACACATTCATCAGGCAACTAAAGAGGCAACTGTATACATGGACATCAACTGATGGCCAATACAAAAATCAAATAGACTATATAATTGGAAGCAGAACATGGAGAAGCTCCATCCTCCCTTCAGAAGCAAGACCAGGAGCAGATTGTGGCATAGACCATGAACTGCTAATATAAAAAAATTAAAGCTTTAAAAGAACAGTAAATCAATGTGCCAAAATACAACTTGAAGAGCATCCCTTTAAAATTGAAAAATGATTTAAAGATTATGTAAAAATGCATCTGCACTATTAAGCTTAATTCACCATGGGCCAGAAAAATTCTGGACAGAGACATCAGAGTTTATCACACGGGAGGCAAAGCACCCACATCCCATGGATAAACAGAGTTTTAATCCTGTGAATATCCCGCAAAAGCGGGATTGTTTTCAGACTTGTTGAGCTAATTCAACATAATTTGGGATAATGCTGAATTAGTCTAACGTCTGAAAACAATCCCACTTTTGTGGGATATTCCCGGGATTAAAACCCTGTTTATCCACAGGATTTGGGTGCTTTGCCTCCCGTGTGATAAACCCCTATGTTAAGAAAGAATGTACACTGTCAACAGCCAAAAACAAAAGCCTCATTGGATGACAGATTAAATTCTTAAAGCAGTTAAGGAAAGATGAAAAAAATAAAACAAAATTCGTAAATTGGGTCAGAACCCTGAATGCAACTTGTGCACAGAGACAAAGTGAACCACTATAACAATCAATTCAGAAAAATAGAAGACCACAACAAAAAAGGTAGAACAAGTAGCTTCTTCCACAAGATCTGAGATTTCAAAAGGAAATTTAACCAAGAGTGGGGATGCTCTATAACCAGCAAGGGAACACACTACATGTTCAAGAAGAAATAAAAAGATGATGAAAACAATACACTGAGGAATTATATAAAAGAGATAAAAAGGTGACAGATTCATTAAAGGAAGAATCATTTGAAGATGAGCCCACAATTTTGGAAAGTGAAGTGGAAGCTGCACTCAAAGCACATGAGAAAAATAAATCACCAGGAAGAAATGGCATACCAATAGAGCTGTTTCAAGCTGCAAAGACAGAATCCACTCAGACTCTAACTAAAATCTATCAAAAAATATGGAAAACAAGATAATGGCCCACAGCTTAGAAACATTCAATATACATTCCAGGCCCCAAGAAAGGGGTCACCAGGGATTGCACAAACCACAAGACCATTGCATTAATCTCCCATGCAAGCAAGGGATGCTAAAAAATCTACCAAGAAAGTTTTTACCATATATGGAGCAAAAAATGTCAGATGTCCAAGCTGGTTTTGGAAAAGAAACACTAGTGATGGAATTGCAAACATACATTGGATAATGGAAAGCACCAAAGAATTTCAGATTATAACAAAGCCTTTTATCTCCCTATCTGTTTATCTTGCACAATGAGTGTGTCATATGTAAGAGGAAGGAGGCATGAAAATTGGAGGAAGGAACATCAGCAAGTTAAGATATGCAGATTACATTATACTATTACCAGAAAATAGTAAAGACTTGGGACAACTGTTGAAGAAAGTCAAGGAAGAAAATACAAAGGCAGTTTTACAGATGGACATTAAGAAAAACAATGACCACAGATTATCTACATAACTTTAAAGTAGACACTCAAGACATTGGAATAGTCAAAGGTTTCCTGTACCTTGGCTTAGTCCTCAATCAAAATGAGGGCTACAGTGAAGAAATCATAGAATCATAGAGTTGGAAGAGACCACAAGGGCCATCCAGTCCAACCCCCTGCCATGCAGGAACTCAAAATCAAAGCATCCCTGACAGATGTAATCAGAAGAAGACTGCAGAATTAATGCAGTTTGACACTGCTTTAACTGCTATGACTCAATGCTATGCAATTCTCCAACCTGTAGTTTTGTGAGATATTTAGCCTTTTCTGTCAGAGAGTTCTGGTTCCACAACAAACTACAAATCCCAAGATTCCATAGTATGGAGCCATGGCAGTTAAAGCAGTGTCACACTGCTTTGTGGTAGCAGCCTAGGACTTGGAAGGGCATCTTGAGACAATATACTTACATGTGAAGATATATCATTGAATGCCAAAGTCAGATTTGCCAAAATGTCATTATATTTCCAATTTCTATATATGGTTGTGAAAGACATGCAGTGGGGGAAAAACCTGATAAGAAAAGAATAATCTCATCTGAAATGTCATGCCTGAGGAAAGTTCTAACTGCCAAAAAGACAAATAAATGGGTCCTAGAGAAAATGAAGCCAGAACTCTCCCTAGAAGACATGATTACTAAATTGAAACTGTACTTTGGCCATATCATGAGGAGACATGATTCACTAGAAAAGACAATAATGCTGGCAAGGCAGTGGGCTCAGGAAAAGAGGAAGACGATAGTAGTGATGAATAGACTCAATCAAGGAATCTACAACCTGAGTTTACAATACCTGATCAGGCAGGTAAGTAACAAGGTGACTCTCTGCCAAAGTCAGCTTGATGGCATTTTACAACAAAGAGCTAAATGGTACATCTTGGATGCCCTTTAAACTGGTACATTTTGAAACAGAATCCTCAGTCATTGAAATGACTTTCAAAACAGAATTCAAAGGGTTGGCTTGCAGAAAAGACTCGTTGCTGCTTGAATGTTGAGAATTTGGCTTATGAAGTGTAAATTATTCATTGTTTCTAAAGCAAAACAAAACATCAGTCCCTTTAATCATGAATTCAGGTATTGAGAACTGATTGAATTGTAAGCTGAAGAATCCACAGAGAAATAAGAGGGGAATATTCCCAATAGCACTGGGGAGCCCCGAAAGTACCGAAGTGTGTGTGTGTGAGAGTGTACTGTGCCTCCCAACAGCCTGTTGATATATGAGCATGCATGCTCACTAACAGTAGCAGGTTGGATATCATGGGAAAATTTTATATTGTTTGGAAGGATGATAGAATAGAGTATGATGGAGAAAGGAATGGTTCGCTAGTTGGAAACCTGAAAAGGAATACTCCTGTTCGGAAATGAGAATACATTTATTTGTAGGTCCAACTATATTTCTATGTTGAGCTGCATTAGTCTTTGATATAATGCTGCTTTCATGTAATATTTTATGGAAGCAGGGGATAAATGCATCCTGTCTCCGATGTTATTTAACATTTATATGAAGCCGCTTGGTGA